AATGAGAAATATTCATGGCCACAAAGCAATGCTTTGCATTTGGTGGGATATGCACGGCGTCGTTTATTATGAGCACCGAACGAAAGTATCACGGGGGATCGATATCAATCACAATTAAACCGTCTGAATGAAGCATTGTTGGAAAAAAGGCCAGCAGTAGCCAGCAATCGACGTAAAGTTATGCTTTTGCACGACAACGCTCGACCACACGTTGCCAAAGCCGTCAAAGAAACACTGATGCAGCACTGATGCTCGAGTGGGAAGTTCTCTCGCACCCAGCGTATTCACCAGACTTAGCTCCTTCGGACGGGAGCACTTGGACACGGTGCATTTGGACACAGCCAATCATAGCACCGTGTACTTAGAGACATTTGTAGGGTCCCTTGGAACAGCGACTTGTGATTGGACTGTGTCCAATTGCCCCGTGTCCAACTGATATACACCCCCTTCGGACTATTACTTGTTCCGGTCGATGCAGCACGGCTTGGTGGATACACACTTCAGAAATTACAAGGATGTGCGAAAATGGATCGACGAATGGATTGCATCAAAAAACCAATCGTTCTATCGTCGCGGAATCTACGCGTTGCCCGAAAGATGGGAAAAATGTATAGCTAGCGAGGGAAAATACTTCGATTAATGTATTTTTTGCTTTTGATTTCGAAATAAATGAGTTTTTTAAACAAAAAAACCGCAGGAACTAAGTTTACCACCTAATAATAATTATTACAAGTATTTAGAAATTTCTCACTTTTCACGATTTCGTGTTAGGGAAAAAAGTTATATGATGGATAGTAAAATTAAACTCACGTGAAAAGATTCATGATTGATGCCCAGATAGCCAAATCTGCTCGAGCAAATTTTGCCCAACACTTGACTACAAATTTTACTGCCAAAATGTCATCAAATTGGACACAATATCTGCTAAATCAAAGGTTGTTGGCAAATTGGCGCCAAATGCCGAGCAAGGTTTGTGCGGCGCAATTTGACGTCAAATTGATGCCAAATACCGAACAAAGCTTGGTGAAATCTAACGCCAAATTGACGCCAAATATTGACCAAGATTTGTGCGGCGCAGTTTGGTGCCAAACTTTGCTCGGTATTTGGCGAAAATTTGGCGTCAGATTTTGTCATCAAGCTTTGCTAACAAAACCCAAACATATTGCGAACGCAGATGGCATCGAATTTGCCATCAAGTTTTGGTCATATTTAGTGTCAATTTGGCGGCAATTTGGTACCAAATTGTTTGCTGGGACAATGTCTAAAATCGGGACATAAGACGTCTTAGAGGTCATCTTTAAGATATCTTTCAGACGATTTACGTATAAATGTCTTTAAGGCGTCTTAAAGATTATCTTTAAGATGTCTTATGTCCCGATTTTAGATATTGGCTTGGTTTATATCGTGCACTTCCCTGACAGCACCGGACGTGGCGAGCACGTCGCTACGACGTAATAACGTCGTAGCGACGTGCTTGTAACGTTCTTGGTACGTCTGTGCAGACAGAGTTGATACGCGTATTAGGTACTATATTCGTATCAAATTTGTACTAAATATTTATACGCACGATGTAAACACTGATGGATCAACTTGGTGTGAGCGTACCAAGTAGAAGTATCGTACTAAACTAATACGCGTATCAAATGATACAAATGACGATGTAAACGTAGGAAACGAATGTTGGAGGGAACCTAATTAAAATCGGTGTTATCGGTAACCGTAGGTTTCTCTCAAAATATAGCATTCTCTCATATTATAGTAAAATATCTTGTAAAATAGGGTTAAATTGGAGAAAAGAAGAAACATTTTTAGAATTATGCATTCTTTCTGTCGATCGAAGCTATCTCAAACAAATAGCAATTCCAAATACCACCACTAGGAGGTAAACGACATAAATTAAATTCGTGGGTGTTTACGACAACTAATCGGATCTCTGATCGGACTGAGCAGTGGCACTCAATGGAAACTTTCAAAAAATTTCCCTAGACTGATCCGAAATCCGTACTGTCTCAGGATTGATCGGATTAGATCAGGCAGATCGATAGATATAGAATCGTGCGAGTATAATAGAATTGAAAAAAGTTGTAAAAGCCATTACACAATAATGCAGGTACATTTTTATTGTTGTAATAATATTACTATATGTAATAAATATATATTAATACTGAATGTATTTTTATTAGTATAAAATCGTAGAAAAAAAAACAAAGAAGTCATAACCTTACTTTACTGTAATTGTCATACTTGTGCCAAAAAAGTTAACAGATACTTGAAGGTACCATAAATAATTAATAAAATTATTGTTTATATCAAATAAATAAGCTATACGTTTTTAAACAATATTTAATTACATATTTGGAAGCATTTTTAATTTGGAAAAATAATCTTGAAAGTAAAAAGATATTTGTTATATAGCAGTTAATAATACTAATTACATTTTATCATTTTTATTTATATGTTATAATCATTAATTTTTTAAAGAGGCTCGCAATAATGAAATATATGTTATATACAATGTTGTCATTTAGTAAAATGTTATTTTTATTTTTTCTTATTGCAGAGTAAATAATATAAAAATAATTGTTCTTTTAATGATATTTTGTAATTATATAAAATACATTTCACCCTCCACTATTAACCCTCCACATAGAACATGGAAATTTGACAAGTTAAAGGCTCGTTTTTGCTTCAATATCAATTTTGTAAAAGATAAATAAGATACAATCCAAACTTTACTGAATTTATCTTATGGTAAAAATGCATTGGAAAAGCTTTTACAAGTATACAAAACTTTTTCAAATTTTTAGTCGTTTCAGAACGATGTAAGAACTTGCAAAGACCCAGATTGTTGATGGAAAATGCTAAAAGAATATCCTCTGCCAACGTCTGGTTAATATATGAAATGTAATCATATTTTTGTATAATTATGGATGTGTAAATATAAATATGTAATCTGTAATTATTCATGTTATGGTAAATAATCTATTTTTATAAAATAATCTATTTTTATTATCTTTATGGAGCATAAAAAATGGATATATTTTTATTATGGAATTTCTTTTTTAATAACGATGAGAATAATGATCGGGAAATAGCACATAGAAGAGAACAACATCTCAAAATCAATAATTTCTTTGAAATTATTGTTCCTTTGTATTCATTAACAGGTAATGAAATTGCATGTATACTATTAATATTTTTGTTATGACGTTTATAGCAGTATTTCTATATTATTTTTTTATAGATTTCAAATCACATTTTCGTATTGAAAGAAATACTTTTGAACACTTGATACAAACTTTTGGAGCGGCTTTATTGGAAAATGATGATTCTCCAAAATTACCACCAGCTAAACAATTTGCTATTGCTTTATGGTTTTTTGGCAATCAAGAAGCTTACAGGTTAATAATTAAAACATTGGATTTTTCTTTTATTATTAAGAACAAAAATATAATATTACATATGAAACCTCTAATTTTTTCCATTGAATATTAAATGTTAAGTTTGATATATATTTTTTATATTACATATTTTAATATGTAATATTTATATTAATTAATAAAAAGTTAAAGAAAAAAATATAATAATAATAACAACGTGGTGTAACGACACTGTTTGAAATTATGTACTGAAAAAGAATTCAAACTGCTAACTTTATTGAAATTGTATAATATTTGATATTGCTGAAGATGATTAACACTCTGATCGAAACATACAAATGCTATTAAGGAAGAAAAAAATGAACGCGTGAATTTCAGCGCATAGTTTCAAACAATTATGTTGTCATTATTATTACATTGGTGGAGTATAGGTTACTAAAAAAATATAAGTATTAAGCCTGTGGCAGACGATGCGATTTTTCTTGCTGGATTGCTTCTGCTCTAGTGAATTACAACACATTCTGCGATCTGTTTGGTGCGTTTCTAACAATTTACTACATCGCAAGCAATGTAGCACGAAAAATCGCATCATCTGCCGTTGGCTTTATTTATTTTCTTAGTACAAAATATCTAAATCTAAATCTCTTTAAGATTTTTAATCTTTGGATTATGAAATTATATAAAAACGCATGAAAAAGAAATTTAAAACTTAGATTGTCTACTTTACATTACTTTAAACTGATTCACTTTAAGACTCTAATTTGAAATCATATATTGAAGTTGAAATGACAATTATCTATTTCTTGAAGATTATGATTTTTTATGATTTTTACGAAGAATGAAAAATATTTGTACATGAAAAATATACTTTTTTTTGCAGGGATACAGTATACATACAGACAAAATTTATAAATAGTATTCGTTTTTTATATATGTTTGTGTAGTATACATTTTTAATTTATATTATTTTAAAATTTTATTTTTAAGTTTTTGTTTTTGCATTGAAAATGTTTTCTTATTTTAGATCCGTTGCAGATCGATTTGGAACGTCTAAAGACACTATATGGAGATGTGTTTTTAATGTCGCTTACACGCTAGAGCAACATGTTCAAAATTATATTAAATGGCCACAAATTCAGGAGACATTAAATATACAAGAACAGTTTGCTGCAATTAGTAATTTCCCAGGTGTGGTGGGCGTTATTGATGGTTGCCACATTCCTATTAGTGCTCCTATTGAACATCCAAATAATTACATTAATAGAAAAGGATTCCATTCTATATTATTGCAAGGAATTTGTAATCACCAAATGAAATTTATTGACGTGTTTACGGGAATTTGCGGCAGTGTACATGATGCTCGAGTTTGGCGGTTAAGCGACATCAGAAATATGATAGAGCATGATGTAGGACGGTATTTTCCACAACAAGGTCATCTCTTGGCTGATTCTGCATACCCGTTATTGCATTATATGCTAACTCCATATCGTGACAATGGTCACTTGAATCATGTCTAACATAATTACAATACAAAATTATCAAGAACCCGTGTCATAATTGAAATGAACATTTGAATGAAATGAAATTGAATGAACATTTGGAATACTAAAGGGACGATTCCGAAAACTGAAATATATATATATATATATATATATATATATATATATATATATATAATACAGATATGATACCACTAGTTATACTTGCATGTTGCATTTTGCATAATATTTGTATTGATATTGCGGATGAACCATTTGATATTTTTGAAATGGACAATATAAATAACAATGATAATTATGCAGTTATGAGAGCTGATGAAAAAAGAGATATTATTGCACAATTATTATTGTAATACCTATTATTTAATATACAAGACATCGTTTTTCATACATAAAAATGTAAAAATTTATTTCTGAACCTATTTCTGAAGTCATTAATATATCAATAGGTATACAATATACATAATCTTTGAAAGAGACTGTTATTATTTCATTTTCTGTAATGCATGTTAATTTGAGTTATGATTTGTGCATTATAATCTGTACATAACAATACCTTCCATTTAGAATTACTTTTTTGTTGATAACATTAAAAGTTTAAGATATGAATTGCCTTTTACCATAACAAAATTCATCTCTGCTTTTTCTAGTAAAAAGAATGTTTACTTTATTTAAATGTATTATTGTAATAGTGTCAAATTGTTTGTACCATACAATCTTAATTACCAGAAATAAAATGTTTTTATTTCAATTAATCAGAAAAATCAATGAGTACTAATTCTTTTATTTCGTACCTAGAGTCTTCATTTGATTATATTTTATACGCAGGCTGCAATATGCGTCATTTTTCATTTTTTAATTACTTCAAGTATACGTGTAGACACAACGCGATACGCGTGTGGTTACAGTCAAATGCGGTTCGTGAAAATTGCGTGCTGCGTTGGTGACCGGAATAGCGATGCACTGAGATTTACCATTGACTCGCCTTGGACTTTGCTGAAGATGCTCCCAAGTTTTAACCGAAACGTCCGGACAATGTACTAATTTTCTACTTTTATTGTTTTATTTGCGCCTTTATCCGCGCTCACACTACCCTATTATCATTTTATGACTAATTATTTTAACTTAGAAGCTAAATCCGCTAACTCAATAATACAATTTACTAAAAAAGAGATCATCTCAGTTTTTCTTTGCGAATACCTATGTGAAACTTGATAAGAATAGAAGTTGGACAAAATAAGAGCAATTTTTTATAAGTCTTTTATAAAACAAGAATATAATCGAATAATATTGTAAGCGCTCATAATTTTTATTATATTAAATATTTAAAGACACATTTTTATATATAATTAAGAAATACATAAAATAGCAGTTCAAATTTTATATTGTGAATTAACATATAAGTGTTTGGTTTGATATATAAATAAAAATGTGAAACGAATTATATTAGTCTTCAAAATATAATATTTAATAAACATAAATATTTGATGTTATAATAATATATTTGCATACTGAAACAAAGTATAGTACTTTATTATAATGTATTTACTACAAAGTATTGTGAGTTGCTTTCCAACTCTTGTATAACTCTTGTAGTTAAAAGTCTATTATATCTATCAGAAAAATATTATGTATATGTATTATATTATGTATATTTTATACATGTATAGTACATATAATGCGTAACGTTATGCATTAGATAGTATAGACTTGATATAATACACTTTTAAATATAGAATACAAGAGTTGGAAAACAACTCACAATACTTTCTACTAAATACTTTATAATAAAGTACTATACTTTGTAATAATACAAATCAGGAGAAAAGCAAGTAAGAGCTTATACTTTGTTTCAGTAAGCAAATATAATTTTATTCTAATATCACACTATTAATTTTAATACGATATATGTATATATATATATATATATATATATAATTTTATATATAAAATATGCAAGAAAACTGAACATGTATATCAAAGACAGAAACTGTCTTCTTTAACAATATTTTCCATTACATATATTATTGTGTTATATGTGAATCTGAAAACAAATCTTAGAACAAATCTTAAGACAAATATATAAAATGTAATTATTACAAATGTAATATAACTAAATAATGAAGAATGTTTACATCAAAATAATATTTTTAAGAATGACAGTTTTTCTTATAGAAACAAATCAGCATATGCAATATGAATCAAAACGTAACTTAAAACTAAAATAAATTTATTATTTTTTTAATAACATTTTAAACATTTGTCGTAACAAATAATAATTTTTCTTATAACGTTAGTTGTTATAGAAACTAAAATATACTTTTTTCTTTTCATTAAACATAAATCTGAGATACTTTCTTTATTGTACGTTATCCTTTTGCAAATATATCTTGAATATTTTGAGAAACCTTTTTTGCATTTTTATGTTTTCTTTATGATGTACCTCTTTTTGTTTGTAAATTTTGACCCATTCAGGTTCATTCTTTCGGCGCTTTCTAATGTTGCGTCTTGCATTATAAGAAGTATTGATGGCTGCAGAATCATTTTCATTGTTGGATTCTGCAATTAGCTCTGGACTTGATTGTCTAATTCTAAATCCATGCGTACTAGAAGCAATTGATACAGGTATTTCGGGTGTTTATTAATGAATTCATTGATCATATCAAAATATTCCCAAGATTCTCTGTTTTTCCCAGTTTGATTATTAGAATCTCGTATATTTTTATACCTTTGTTTCAAATTTTCCCATTTAGTGTAACATTGTTCCTCGGTTACATTGTAATCTTTTTTCTTAAAATTATTTGCTATTCTTCTCCATATTGTTTTATGCATACAATTTTTATTATTTAATGATACCATATGGTTTCTAACATTTTCTATTAAAAATTTTGTAGTTTGCATTGTCCACTGATATTTAGAGTTTTCTGTAACAAAATAAAATTATTAAAATACTATAATAATGTTCTACTATGCCATATATATAATTACAGGGTGGGGAAAAAAGGTCGGTACCCCTGAATAACTCGGAAAATATAAGTTTTATAGAAAAATGTTCCAGACTAAAGTTGTAGGGCTTAAAAAGATCTATTTACTGATCTGTGCATTACACTTGTATTCTATCAACAAAGTTTTGCTGACAAGCAATGTGAGCAGATTGGTGGCAGAATATGCATTCGACAGGCAGGCTCTGCTCAAAATCTATTTGCGCAGGCTTCATTAGCTGGATTACACACAGAATACTTTGTATAATCTTATTTTGATTACTGCTATTTAGGAAATTGACAAGTATTTTTAAGATTATTTATTTTTACATAAGCATTGAAGGATAATTTTAAGTTTGATATTTACATTGAATATAACAATTTAGAAATATTTTTATATATTAAAATTAACAGAATTTAAGATGCTTATGTCAAAGTAAATAATAATTAATACTATAAATAATACTAATAATAAAATAAACAATAATAAAACAATAAAATAATATGTAATTTTAAAATATATATACCAAATTGATTTTGCTCAATATTATTATCTTCATTCATCGTAATTATCTTTTTATCCTAGAATAAATAAATTTATAAAAATATAGTTGTAATTAATTTAAATAAATGATTAAAAAAATAGGTTATGCCTTATTTGCTTTTTCTTCTACACTTTTATGTCAATAAAAATATATTCAGCATTAATATATATTTATTACATACAGTAACATTAATTATTACAACAATAAAAACGTACCTGCCTTGTTGTGTAATGGTTTTTACATCTTTTTTCAATTCTATTATACTCGCACGATTCTATATCTATCGATCTGCCTGATCTAATCCGATCAATCCTGAGACAATACGGATTTCGGATCAGTCTAGGGAAATTTTTTGAAAGTTTCCATTGAATGCCACTGCTCAATCCGATCAGAGATCCGATTAGTTGTCGTAAACACCCCGTATTATATTTTTCCTTTAGTGCGTTCGATGTAAACGTACCCGTATTAAAGCATTGGTACGCATCAAATTTAATACGCGTGCTAACGTTTTGACGATGTAAACCAAGCCATTATGTTGTCTGGGATCATTGTTCCATATATGTAACCATTTTGTGAGATACAAGTTATATGATTGTGACATATCATTTCATATTATAATGATGTCATCGCAACATTGCGTCTGTAATGAAAATAGCACGTCATTGCGATATTACTATGACATAACTTAAACATCACAAAGTATAGATAACAACGACATTACTGTGACCTTCTAATAACATCACAATGACGTCACAATTTTTCTATGACATTGTGACTCTATTGTTATGTCACTGCGACATTTTGTGCTATGTGGGTGTATATACGTCATTGATTCGCATCAAGCATTGATAACGCTTAAAATTCTTCATCACTTGTAAATGACTGTTTTTATGTACACTGTCACGTCCGCCGCGACTATGCTATCCCGCTAATTTTATTTTCTTCAAACCATACGAGCGCCGACGCGAGCGCCACCTCGTTAGGTGGAAGGTAAGTCACTACGGGCTTTAAGCCCACCGACGCGAACGCCACCTCGTTAGGTGGATGGTAAGCCACTGCGGGCCTTAAGCCCGCCACCTCGTTAGGTGGAACGTAAACCATTTCTGCTGCCTCTCCAACCCCTCCACCAAGGGAAGCCATCCCCGCTCCCCGAAGACCAGGTAGCTTTCCCGAACTCCCGAGATCCTTCCAGACCTTTCCCGAATAACCGAGAACCTTCCAGAATCTTCTAGAGGCCTCTCGATCTTTCCGCTAAGGAAGACTCTCCCCACTCCCTGAGGTCAGATAACTTTCCCGAACCCTGGGATCCTTCCAGACTTTTCCAGAATCCTCGAGAACCTTCGAGATCCTTCCGGAATCGTCCAGATGTTTTCTTAACCCTTCCGGAAGAAACCCCTTCCTCGGATCCAAACGGTTTATAAGGCGTTGTGCAAAACGCAGTCAGTCAGTCTTAATCCGGGAGTCCTACAAGTCGGTTGTGCTACCGACTACGCGACGTGAACAGTGCACTCATCCCTATTTTAGGATCCATACGTTAGTGCAAATACCTATCCTTCCAACTCCCACACTCTAGAATATCTCTATTACTTTTAGTTAAACTTACATCCAACCTTAGAATACTCTCGCACACTACATCTAGATTTAACGTTATAATATAAGAGTTCGTGTTTAACCAACGCAAATGTACACTATTATTTTTTTAATGTTGCAAGTAAATTCGTATCGTGACAAGAACCTTCAACCTATATCAGTAATCTAACGATATATGTAACAATCAGGTAGAAATATAACTTTGTTAATTAAATATTTCATTCTGAGATATTCTTATTTTTGAACCTTCCCTAAAACCCACGCGTCCGAAACTGTGCAACTAGTGAAGCCAGTGATGCAATTCTGACCTGCGAGCGGACCCTTCGACATTCCGGGTTTAGCCCTTCCGGCCTCAGGCAACGAGAGGCACGGAGCCGTCCCTTGTGCTCGCCGTCTGTGCATCGTTCTCTGCGCCACTGTACTGTAATTTGCCGAGTAGCGACTAGAGCCGTATTTGTGCTCCCTACCGAATTACAGTCTCTGCCTTGTAACCCACTGAGCGGCGACTAGAGCCGTCATTGCGCTCCCCGTTCAGAGTTACAAGTGCGGAATCGCGTACACGGCTGATATGATTAACTACCGAAATTGCATCTATGGCTAGGACACGACATGTCCTTTGCGCCGGTATAACGTCCTTCGCGACCGCTCAGACACAAAAAACGTTATGTTCTCGTTTTTGTTTTAGGCCTGCCTGCATACACCGACAATAGCCTGGGCTGGTAGAGAACCGTGCATCGAGAGGAAGTTATTTATTAGTGTAGTAATATAGTGCAAAAATGAAGTAATTTTATATTATATTTTATTGTGAATGGGAAATAAATTATTTGACGAGCCTTGTAATATGTATGACTTGAATGTTTTAAGTAGCAGAGGAATAAAAAATGAATTATAATATTTAATATAATATTGATTGAATAATAATAATAATAATAATAATAGGGAGAGAATAAAGAAATATATTTGCAGAGAGAAAGAGAGAGAGAGAGAGAGAGAGAGCTAGGAAGAAGAATATATCGTATCCGGGATAAGAAGAGCGAAAGTTGATGGATAGATTAATTGTAATCCTGCTATAGGCTCGAATAC